TGCTAGGAGAGGGACAGACTCCACATTCATCACCCTCTTTCTTTGCCTTCGGATATCGTCGTTGTTCTCCTCCACAGGGTTTTAGTCAATACCTATCCCACTCTCTATCATCATGGCCTCGACTTTTCCTCTTCTCCGATTGCCTAGCAGAGCTATCAAGTTTGTGTTGAAGTACCATGACATTGCTGAGCTGTAAGTTTTAATTTATATCAGATTTTGGTGCGAAATTTGAACTTTCCCGGGTCGCAAGCTTCCTCGTTTCCAGAAAAAAAATGCTGACAGCGGCACGGTTTTTTTTCGATATACAGCTCTTTTAATTTGATAATAGATGCTAGACAATATTTTAAATCTTTCCAGGATCCTCTTCTCAACCCTGTCAAATCATGCCAAGAACCTCGTGAAATCTGACAAACGAAATGCTCTCAACATTGAATTCCTCGTTTGCAATGGATGCTATGTTAATTTATACTGTTCGAACACCATAATGTTTGGAGAATCTCCACAACAGGAATGCGGCATTGAGTCCTCGTCACCTTGCACTGTACGTGTGATAGATAGATGGGATCCAGTCGAGATCAGTTTTCCAGTACCAGGATTTAACGGTGTAAGAGATTGGATTGAACATTTCATGTTCATTTTCAATTACTCTATGGTTGATGTCAGTTTTGGTCCTCGTGATGAATGGAAGTATAGCCATGAATCGATTAAAAAAGTTCTGAAATGCCTTCCAATCGGACACTTGTCAGTTTTTGAGAATGCATGTGAGATCGTGAAAAACTTTCCAATCATGGATTCTCTCTATGTAGATAAAACTGATTCGGAACCAGAACTACAAGGAGAAGATTTAAAGTTCATCAAAGGAGTCCTCATTGGAAATATTGCCCGACTTGAAGTGAACCGTGTAATCTCGATGGATCTGGGCACCCTTTTTTCATTCACATTTAATTGTATTCCTCAAAAATTTTGTCTCGCTTCTGAAAAAGACAATTCTTATAGTTAGAAAATTGAATTTCAGCTCACAATAAAGAACATTCTTTTGATCCGGGGCTTTTATTTGAATATTTATTAGGAACTTTTGATTATGCAAATAGAAAAAAGGACATATAGCTGGTTAAATAAAAATTATACGGAACAGGGGAAACAGACATTTAATGTTGAATAACATTGCATCATTAGATCATTGAAAAGGCTCGACTTCCAGAGAAAACTCATTGACGTCAAGGAACACAATACCCATAGTTCCATCATTCTTCCGAATATGATATGTGGATCTAGGAAAGATTCTTCCTTCTTCAATCAATAATTCATGCTTGAATCCTTTAAGAATTACACTTGTGTTGAAAGTTCTGCCTAAATTGAAATTGGAAGAATAGCGTAAGGACAATTGTTCAAGATTTTGGTTAGCGCCTTTTAACCAAAGTTTAAGGAACGTATTCAATTCCTTATCTGCGAGTGAAGGATGATAGGAAGTAATATTCGGACTGTTCATCATTAACAAAGTGTTGAGATCCATCGGGATTACACGGCCTATTAGAACACGGGTTATGTTTCCGAGAAGTACTTTTTTGATGAAATTCAAATCTTCGCCTTGTAATTCTGGTTCCAATCCAGTTTTGTTCATATAAAGACTACTCATAACAGGAAAGTGTCTCAAAACTTCACATGGATTTTCAAAAACAAATAATTGTCCAATCGAGAAACCTTTGAGAGTCTTACACACGGATTCAAGAGTATACATCCGATTATTGCGAAATCCGAAGAACACACCAACCAGTGGTTGATTGAAAGTAAACATGAAATGCTCACACCATTCTCTTACACCAAACCCTGTTAGTGTAAGATCAGTATCGTCGCCAAAAAATTTCATCTCAGATCTCATTCGTAGTGTGCATGGTGTCAATGATTCAATATCACTTTCGCCTTGTTCGATTCTACCAAAACAGATGATACATTCACCACCAAATACAACTTTGCATCCCGAATGAAGGTTAATTTCGATGCAACTAGCTTTCCGGCGAGCAGATTTAACGAGACGTTTTGCACGGTTTGATAGAGTCGAGAGTAAGACTCTGGAAATATTTACAATAGTGATTATATGGTATCATCATTAAACTCACAATTCAGGAACAATACAATACTGCAACGCATTTTTTGAAGCTTCGCTAGGCAAGCGAAGTAGAGGAAAAGTTGGAACAGAGTAGCGCATTTTATGCAACTGAGTATCCACCTAAATCCTATCCAAAAGAAGAGTGACCGATGTCTGATGACAGCTGGTGGTGGGGGATGTGAATAATGAACGTATTCTCTTAACAAGGTTTAGTGGGCCGACTGTCTATCGTATCCCACTACCCTGCACATCTTACACCCCTCTAAACCTGCCTACTAGTCGAGAGGGTTTGAATGGGGCTGACCCCGCATTCATTGTTAACATACCCCATCTCCTGTACTCAGCCCGTCTTGCATACTACTCTTCTATTGCCATGGCCCCAACATTTCCTCTTGTTCAGCTGCCTAGCAATGCAATCAAGATTGCTTTAGAGTACTGTACTATTCCTGAATTGTAAGTTTCAAATAATATTTTTCATAAGCACTGTTGTAAACATTTCCAGAATCTTCCTCTCAACCCTATCAAACCGTGCAAAAACTCCTCGTTAAATCTTCTTGTCGAAGAGCCAGTCACTTCCTAATTGACCTCCGTTCGGGGTGTGAAGCTATATTCCATCGTGAATGCGTAATCTATTTTGGTGAATCCGATCAAGACGATTGCGATATTGAATCATTGACACCTTGTACACTACGAATGACATTTGGCAGTTATTTTGACCCCGCTACTTATTTTACTCTACCAGGATTCGGTGTGAGAGAATGGTTTGAACATTTTTCGTTCATTTTCAATCAACCATTTGTTAGTGTGGATTTCTATTTTCACAATCAATCCAAGTATATTTTCGAATCGGTTTGCAAACTTCTGAAAGGATTTTCGATTGGAGGGTTGATAGTACGTGAGAATCCCTGTGAAGTTTTGAGACAGCTTCCTGTAATGAGTTCTCTCCGTTTGGACAAAACTAGATCAGAACCAGAACTACAAGGCAAAGATTTAAATTTCATTAAAAAAGTACTTATTGGAAACCTCAACCGTGTTGAAATAAGACGCGCGATCACACTCGATCTTAACACTCTATTGATGATGAATAGCCCAAGAATTACTTCCTGGCGTCCTTCACTGTCAGATAAGGAATTGAACACATTCCTTAAACTTTGGTTAAACGGCGGTAACCCAAATCTTGAAAAATTGTCTTTAGACTATATTTACAATTTCCAACGCAGAAGACTAACCAGAACGTTCAACACAAACGTCATCTTGAAAGGGATTGGGTACCAGTTATTGAATGACGGAGAGATGATTCCTTCAAAACCTCGTTATCATGTTCGAAAAAGTGATGGAACCCTGGCACTTGTTTTATTTGGAAATAATAGTTTTTTACTGAAAGTTCAATCTCTTCAATAATTTCTTTACTTTTTAAATATCAATCTTTTCCTCAATCTGTTTACTTTATCAATTTACTGTTTTGCCACTGATGTCCAATAAAAATTTTAATATAATATTTGATCAAGTTTCACCGCAGCGACCTGAAATTGATAACCTTTGCTTGATAAAATAAAAAACAGGCAATCTGCAAAGACTAAAAGATTAAATTCTCAAAAAAATTAAAATTTTCTGCTCAAAACCCTTCATCCATGATTTACAAATATACATTGATGTCACATTCAAGTTTCCACTTCCTCTTCCAAATTTCAATAAAAATATTTTGTGAAAAACATTCCGCGCATATCATATGACAATTAAATGAATGGTAACAGCAACATATCCTGAATAACACCTGCTCAAAAACATGTTTTCATAGAAATTTTGTATAAAAAGCTATGAGGGATGTGCTCAACCACCTTCCTTCAAAGCTTTCCTCATCATGAAGTTCTTCCAACTCATTTTTCTATTTGTTTTGCTAACTACTATTGCGTGTCAGTTACGACTTCAGTTCAATCTTCATGGAAATTCATCGGTGAATAATCACCTGCCAGCTTTTGGTTCATCACACGCGATCCGGGCCATACGCACGCTGCGCATAAGGGTCCCAAGAATGCAACAATGGCCTTGAACAGTTCTCTATGGCTTTTTAAAAATTTTTTTCACATAAAACATCGATCAATTTTTCATTGAAAGAAGTTATCGTTTTTTTGTCTGAATTAATAAATCTTATCTGTTGAATTTTTGCTATGAATCTGGTTTTTCGAAAAAAAAAGAATCGGGATAGTAATACCTTTTCCCGGGAAATTCAACGGGAATTCAAAAATTCAAAATTTCGGACTGATGTGATAAGAACCAACAACTTATTTTTTCAATAAAAATATTTATTTCATTCAAAACCATATCCCTCAATCAGTTAGTTCGATCCCATATTTCAAGCACTCTTCTTTCCAGTAAACGGACATCTCGTCGCCATTCTAGTCTTTCTCACAGAGACATACACAAGAACACCGGCAAGAACGACACTCGCCATTATTGGATATTTGTAGTTATCGATGAATCCGACAATCGATTGCCAACGGGAAGGTGCCGGTGGTTGGGGGACAATCTCATTGAGCCACTCGGATTGAGACGTTTCGTTTCCAGACTTCATTGACACTTTCTCCACTGTTTCACACGCTGGCACGTCGTCTTTACGGGATTTTGAGTTGACTTTGGAGGACTGGAATTGGAATAGGGTACGGTAAGAAGTTTGGAGCGTGGCGAGATCTTGAACTAGCTTGAGCAGATCTTTCTCAATCCAGGTCGGGAAAAAAACTAGCTATCATTAAAAATTTGGGAAGCTTCACAGTTGAAACTATGTGCGTCTTCAATTGATGCTCAAAAATCTGTGAGCTTCCTTAAATTAACAAGAGAAACGTTCTCTGAGCTTCGCCGTGCCAAAAACTTGTTTTACCGAAAAAGCAAAAAAGAAATACCCCTACTGGAATCGAACCCCTAACCATTTTTTCAAAAACAATAGCGCTAACCACTACACCACACCGCACCAACGCCATACCAACAGGGTGTTGACCTACCTTCTTCTCGCGTCTCTTCTTCGACTTCTTTCTCATCGGAACACCGGTTCCAGTGGCTCCTTCCAATTCATCAGCAGCTCCACGAGCACTTCCTCCAGATCCATTCGATATTTCACTTCTTTTCGATGATGTCGATGATCCCTCTTTCTCCGCCATCTCGTTCTTTCTGGAATAAATCGATTTTTGAATTTTTTCCCTGATTCGAATTTTCCACGTGGAGAAAAAACATTTCAACACGTTTTTTTTGGAGCAAGAAGGTTACTAAGCACGTGGAAAAGAGGAAAATTTCATTGTAAAAATTTGAATTTCCGCGCGAGAGCGATGTCGAAGTTTGTCTATTTTTCGTTGTTAGCAATATTATACGTGGTCGTGAGCACAGTGAGTTTTCATGAAGTTTCTGGGAGTTACCGCTTCGAAACGGCCCAAAAACCAAGTTTCCAGCGGAATTTTGAAGCGAGTTATGCAGTTTTGAAGTTGAGGGGGTGGAACGCGAGACGCAGAGAAGCTAGATTGTCTGCTGTCTGCGTCTCGCACTCTCTCGCTACTGGCTTCAAAATTGTCTGGTTTCTTAACCATTTCTTTTCCAGAAACCGGGCCACCATGCCCAAAAGTCATCCCACCAGAAACACCACTTCATTCGGAGAAATCCCACATCTACACCTCCCACTAACACGACTTCTGATGACGTGACACCTTCTAACTCCACGGATTCGGATGCAATGACTTCAGATTACCCTGATCCAGCAGTTTATCACAATCAGAAGCCTACAAATTTCCATTGTTTCATTGATGAAAAGATGAAGAGTGAAGTGGAGGTAAGAGAGAAAAAAATAATTGAAAAAAAAGGAAAAATAGTTTCGGCCTCGGTGGGGTTCGAACCCGGGATCTCTAGACTACAAAACAAGAGCCTTCGCCACTACACCACGAGGATCACCAGCCGCGGGGAGTGAGGGGGGGGGGGGGTAAGCGTTGAGGCAGGGGGAAGCGTGGTGTAGTGTTTAGCGCAGCTGTTTTGGAAATATTCATCGCGGGTTCGATTCCGGCTGGTGCTATCCATTTTTGTTTTTTATGAAATACTGGATGTCTTTTTTTCAGCTCTCCCACATAATCGGAGTGCGAAATGCAGACTCCCGTCTCACCATCTCCGGTCCAAATGAGAATTTCAACTTCCTCTTCTTCGAGCACTCCAAACTAGACTCCACCACAACCGTTTCAATGTCTACAGTATCCCCAGATGACGTCACCGTGTCTTCCGAATCCACAACTACGGAAGAGACCTCCACTGTGTCCATGGCAGATGATGGGAATTCGACATGGATGATTACTTCAAATGACACAATTCCAGATGACGGCTTTTGGCCTTTTCCTTTCCCTCCAAAGAGAGCCACCACTCCGAAGCCACCGATTTTGAATACCCCGTTGAATGTGGTAAGCTGGGAAGAGGGTGAGAGAGCGCAGAGAACCTAGACTGTCTGACTGGTCTGCGTCTCTTAAAGGGGTGGCAGAAAAAAACAAGACGCCGGCTGCTAGACACTCGTTTTTCTGTGATCTTTCCCCATACTTCCAGATCTTCGTGAAAAACGTCACCGTGGCCTGGAACCAAGACACCCAGCACTTCCATTTCCTCGTCCCAGATCAGGCTTTCCGACATTATAAGTGAGTTTTTTGGCGTAAAATTTACTGTCAAGTACGCGAACACCGTCGAATTTTCAGTCTTGTCTACGATTTCTACGTGAATCACACCAGCAACGATGACACCACCCTAGCTTTTCACAAAGGGAAGCCAGAAACTAGGTCATGGCGAATGTCGGGGAACTATACCTGTCATTTCAATGTTAAAAACGTGAGTAGCGTCAAATCTGATGCCGGGTACGCAAACACCGATCTTGCAGAGCAATTCGGTCTGCGTCGCAATATCCGGTCAACAAGTCACTGTTACTATCTTTGGAAAAGTCAAGGATACAAATCCAATGTTGGTTTTTTATTTTGTTTTCTCATTGGAGCGCACTTGCAACATTTCCAGAGAAAACCAGTTCTCCCTTCCGAATTATCTGAGTTTTGATCACTTTTTCTCCTATGCGGATAGCGAAGGAACTGATTACATACTGATTCATCACCGTGGTCAATGGATTTATCGACTTAATTATCGAATGTATCTGCTGGACCAGAATATGTTCTTTAAAGTTTTTCATCTGTTGACGGTAGGTCAAAAAATTAGCGATGGAGCGCGTTTCAGATATAGGGGCAGGGTTGAATGGTTTTTGGGTTGGGTCTCGCCACGATCGGAAATTCTTACTGTAGGAATTTTTGTGACAAAAAAAAAGAAAACGCGCTCCACCGAACTTTTTCAAAAAATTTAAAAAATGCCCTGTTTCCAGCCCGACAACGAGTACCTATTCGCTGGTTTTGAGCATGCCGACGAGAATGGTCTCGTCACGAAATACACGGATGAGTACGGTCACTATCGATACTATTATTCGTTGTTCAGTGAGGCAAGCGCCCTTCTATTAGAGGTTTTTTTTTCTATTCAAATGAGTTTAGGTATCGGGTCTCACCACGTACTGTGTACATGACAAGTATATCGATGGGCGATTGATGATTCTGGGGAAGCAGAGGGTTGAGGAGACGAAGACTATTGGTAAGGTTTTCAGAAAATTCTAGAACTCTGGAATTTGGATCTGGTAGATCAAAAAATGCTCTAGGTTTGAAGCAGAAAAACGTGCTCGAAACCCTATGAAACTTATATCAGTCAATAGAGAAATTTTTTGATCTACCGCAAAAAATCATTCGACAATCAATCAATAAAAATTTCCAGCCGAACAGCTAATCGGAAACATTTTCCACACGGAACCCCAAGAGGAGTATGAGTTCCCGACGATGCTCCGTGTCCTTTTCTACTGCTCCGCCGTCTATTTGTCAATTTTTTTGACGACTCAAATGATACCGAATCGACGGCCATTGATTTTCAAGGATTTGGTAGGTTTTTGACTGCGCTTTTCAGGTTAATTTTGAACATTTTCAGCGCCACTCGGATCGAGAAATCCAGCGATTGGCACCGGTTATTGAGACGGTTATGGGAAAAGTGCACGCGTATTTGGAGAAGGCGAAGAAGAATGGATGGAAGAAAGCTGAATAAAAAATTTGATTTTTTTTTTGGAATTCGTGAAAAAAATCTCAAAAAATTGGCAACGGAGCGCATTCCGGCTGTACAAATAATGATCGGCAAGCCCTTCTTACCTTAAAGGCGCATGGTTTTTATCACGGAAGGTCTTACTACGCTCCGGAAGTACTTACTGTAGCGTTACGGGCGACTTTCAAAACCTTTTTTTGAAATAGTCTCATCGAAAAGTATAACCACGTGTTCAAATCCAATTTTTTTAAACAAGAATTTGAATTTCCCGCGTGACCTCTCCTTGAACCTGTGAAGCGATAAAAAACGGAGACGAAATCGAAAATTCGTAAGGCGTGATTATTGATTGATTTCTATAGTCGTTGTGAAGTTGAACACGAGAACTGCAAAAGGTGAGTTGTCTTTGAAGCGAGGATCTTCGCACGCGCACGGGTGTCCTGAGGGGTATGTCAGTAAGTGCGCTCTATTGAAATTTTTTTCAAGATTTCTAGAACGCTGCGCCTACCGAGAAAAGGGAGGGCGCGCAGTTTCCTGTATGCCTTCTCCCCTTCTCTCGGCAATACGTGTCGCAGCCTAGTGGTTAGAGCTCTCGTTTTTGAATTTGCCATCGCGGGTTCAATCCCCACTGGGGTCAAATCTTTTTTTTTCTCTACAGAACCCTCCTCTATCTTCCAGATGTCGAATTCGACAGCTGACTCTGCTCCCGACGTCGCTTCAGCCGATGGTGATCAGACGGCGAACAGCGGCATCGTCGGCGACTCGATTCCGATGGCAATGGTGTGCGGACTGATCGCCGGCGTCGTGTTCGGTATCTTCTGCCTGATTCTTCATGTGTGTCTTGTGAGATGTCTGGTGAAACAACGTGCCAAACACATTCCGAAAGTTCGTAAAGTGAAGGTGAAGAAGGGAAAGAAGGGCGGAAAGAAGGATAAGAAGGACAAGAAGAAGAAGGGCGGGAAGAAGAGCAAGAAGAGTGGTGAGTTTTTGGAGAGGGGCGGGGTCTAGGGTCATGGGGGTCTGGATAATAAAATAATTTGATGATTCAGACTCGTCAAGCAAGACTGGCACCTCCACTGGATCCTCCATTGCCATGTAGAGCCCTCTCCAGGCAATCATTCGAAGAGCATCGATATCATTTAACTAGTCTTTTTTTGAAAAGGTTTATTGGGTAATAAACTTTTCAAACTCTTGGGATTTCTTGTTTTTTTGAGTTACAGTAAGCCAGCAATAAAAACTTTTACTATTTCTTGGCACAGTGCCAAAACTCCAAGCCCCTTGATTCCTGCAGTATGTTTCCCAGGACCTAATTATCTTGTCGCGATTAAATCTAGCCTTTCTATCATTACACGTCAAATGTAGAGATCATACAGGTATCAGAGAGTTTAGAGTATTTGCACTGTCCTCCCATATTCTTCGTCTGTTGCACCACTCGTCTCTTCTTGAGGCTGTCCATACAACTCTCTATCCTACACACAAGACCACGTCATCGATCTGTATTCGTCCACCACTTAATTTCACCACAATAAAATAATATGGAAATAAGCACCTTCCCTTTTCATGAGCTCCCCAGCAAGCTTTCTCTATTGGTGTTACGACAAATGGAAATAATGGATAAGTAAGTTACAGAAGCTATATTTTATTGTAAATACTGCGGAATGTACTTCATCTTCAGAGCAGCATATCTCGGTTGACTGAAAAGCTAACAAAAAGTAGTCAACTGAAGAAATGCTACCAAAAAAGTTTTAAGCATATTACTAATAGATCACTTTTTGATAGCTTTGAAAACAACCGAGATATGCTGCTCAGAACGTACACAGAAAACCGATTTACAGTAAAACCTTAGTACTGTTTGTTCAGAGCAGCATATCTTGGTTGCGTTTGAAGTTTGCAAGAAGTGGTCAACTGAAAAAATGTTACCCAAAATATATTAAACAATTTACCAGTTAAATTTTTTTTCATAGCTTCAAAGACAACTAAGATATGCTGCTCTGAGCATACTGGTCTAGCATAAATTGTATTATTTTCAGATTCGCATATTCACTTTGCTCCAAAACCAGCAAAACCGCTGTAATTTCACTTGATTTGAAGGCATCACAAATCCGATTGAGTGTCGGTTTGAATAAAATTGTGCATGTTCAGATAAACAACCATGCCTTTTTTGATACTGAAATGTTTTCCGGCGATTTTTCTAAGGTGAAATTACAATGGAAGATGGGAAAACAGAAGATTTGGAAGCTTTCTACTTGTTCTCTTAGAAACTGGCTTCATCATATTTGTGAAGTGTTTCATCATCCTGTACTCGATGAGCTATGCTTCGATAGCACCGTTTTTTATTATGAAGCTCTCGACGATGCTCAAGAAGCTGTGAAAGGATTGAAACTTAAAATTTTATGCCTACTTGATGATTGGGATGAATTCAGAAGTGAGAGATTGAAAAGATTCCCGTGTTACGAGAATCTTCGTCTTTCCAGGTTGCCTAACCAAAAAGTTGAAAAGATTTTCATACAGAATTTGAACAGAGTAGATATTTGCAACTCACAAGATATAAAAATCGACCCGCTATTGCTCTCGAATTGGGAGTTAATCAACTTGTATCGTTCAACTTTAGTCGAGAATGACTTCAATCTGTTTTTGAAATTATGGATACGTGGATCGAATCCTCGATTGAAGGAAATTGCTGCTTCTGGAGCAATTGAACCTTACAACAATAGTATGCAAAATCAAATTTTGAAAGGAATAAATTATACACAAATCCCATTGGATAGTAAAGAAGTACAAAGACGCGAGACGTTTGGAGGATGGTATTGTGAAACAAAAATGGCTGGAGGATTTAAAATCAAACGATTGGACGGAACTGTGGCTGTTGTTTTAATCACAGACACATTCAGTTTTATCACGGATTTTTATTAAAACATCTATCTA